CCCGTCTCTCGGTGAAAAACGCCGTATGTTTAAAGGAGCTGGCATAGACATTGTTTTTACATATCCGAACACATTACGTACTACTTTGGTTAGGCACAATGCAGCCAGCGGTGCTCTTGATACGCCGTGTGTATATATATATATTATATATAATATATATATATATATATATATATATATTATATATATATATATATATATATATATATATATATATATTATATTATATATATATATATATATATATTATATATATATATATATATATATATATATATATATATATATATTATATATATATATATATATATTATATTATATATATATATATATATATTTATATATACACGATTCATTGTAATGACTGACGGAAATTTTACATAAGCGAAATGGGTAGACTTTTGACAACAGAATGAATGAGCATAGACGGGATGTTAGCTATGCCATTGAATCTAATGCCAGTGTTGTTCAATTGCATGACGGACATCAATTGAATTGGAAAGGTGCCAAATTAATTCATAAATCGTCAAATTCTTATGAGAGAAAAATGCTTGGAGCCTTGCTAATTAGGAAATTGACCAATTTTAACTTGAGTGCTGGCCAGTCGGGGTTGGATGATCTTACCTCATAGTTAGTTACTAGAGCCTTCCACAGACTCTTCGAACTTGAATCTTCTCCTAAGATCTGATTCAGATCTTATTGTTTTTCTCCTACGATATAAACATGTCAAAATTCTCTCCTTGTATCCATTTCCGTCTATTATTTGTCTGAAGAGGAACTCATGAAGAGTTCGAAACATGACATTTATTTTCAGTTCTCATTGTGGCTGTTTTAATTTTCATACACACACACACACACACACACACATATATATATATATATATATATATATATATATATATATATATATATATATATATATATATACACATACAATTCTGAGTGTGGTGTGTGTATACAGACACACACAGACACAGACACAGACACAGACACACACACACACACACACACAAAATTCTCCATCAAGCTTTAATAAAATTAAGTACCTGTTCCATTTCAACAGTACAAGATGGATGTACTTTTGGAAATGTAGCAGCTAAAGGTTTATGTAAAATTTTATCCTACAGGTAGTATAATGCAATAGAAACTATTTTCCAATTCTATATATTTACCCTCTTCCTGAAATTTACATATTAACAAACTGATTATGAACTTGAAAGTCACATGCACTTGCTTGAGATCACATTCGCCTAGAAACTCAATGTTCATTCTCAATCCTGGGTCAAATAATATCACAATTACTCTGACTGACTTGATTCTAGGTATAGGAAATGGTCTATGATGAGTCAGAGTAAAAGTCATTTTGAAAATAAAACTTCAAAGTAATTTCAATGACTTTAAGATGAACTCGAGTCTATACCTGAAAGAACAGCTTGCTGATGTAAAAAACAAATAATGGAGGACTCTACAGTAAATACATTTAACCACTCATTTATCAACACGAAGGACTCACATATAAGCATTTGTAAACACAATCGAATACATACAATCATAAATGGGCACATGTATACTTATTTCTCTAGGAATATTAAAACACATATAAAAGAAAATCAACAATATTTATGTGATATCAATTACAATGCTTCAGTTCTATAATCATTTGAATATAACCTTACATGACAGTGACACATAAAAAATATATGTATATTACTTCCTGCTTAATGGGCCCAGCATCTCATGTATTCCAATTTTTGGTGCATTAACAGCATCCAAATGATGGTGCTCTGGTGGTCCGAAGTTTGGCCCTTGTGGAGCAAACATTTGATTGTAGCCAAGATTCAGCTGTGCAGGAGGTATCTGTGGCACCTGCTGTTGCTGTTGCTGCTTGAGGTTGCGATGCTGGGGGAAGGTTGGCATCATTCGTGGGTCACATGCTGAAAACAATGGAAACACTAATGAAGTGTGTATGATATAACTTTTACTTATTTATGGAAGTTGCCTTACAAATGCTGATATAAATATATATCTTAGGCAGACAAGAAAGCTGACAGTCAGTGAAAGAAATATCTGTTACAATTGAGTTGTTCATGTAAATTAAGACATTAAAAACTCTTTTCCTTCTAAATATTTGGATTTTTTGCATAGCTAATTTCATGAAATAAAGGATGAAATCAAACTGATAAAGTTCCAGCTGTTTGGGGAATTGAAACTATGAGTTCAGTTATGCTTGTTCTATCAGTCAGTTTTTTGTCTGGTAGAAAACAGGGCACTATAGTATCATATTATGGAGATGATAAGCAGAAGTATTTTATAAACAGTTTTATGCAAGAATTTCAATCCCTTTAGCTCAGTGACCATTGAATACTACCCGCGGAAGTATTAGACAATTTAGCTCTCATAACAGTTTGACCTCCTAAGGCATTACAAACCAAATTAAAAGATGTAAGCAACAGAACCACCAATCAATTTATTTCAATTGAAGAGAAATTAATAAACTGAT